AAAAAAAAAAAAAAAAAAAAAAAAGTTCTTTAGAACAGGGAGTGGGGGATGAGTTCAGTGTGAAGGACCTGGATTCAATTCCTTGTGCTGAAAAACAATGACAACATCTGATTTTGGGGATATATGTGATTCTAGATATGGGGCAGGAGATGTATGAGGTGATCCTGGAAGACCTCATTATTCGAGCTCTGAAGAAGCACTAGGATAGGATTTCATCAAAATTCTGAAGATGAGACTCCCCTGACTTTTTGGGATAATTTGAGTTTCAGTAATAATAATTACAAGGTGAAACTCACTAATGTGTTTAAACTCAGGAATTCATAATGTTATTTAAAACCAGAATTGGCCACTTTAGAATGATGAGAGGGAACTGATTCATGTAATCTCAAACACCGAGGAGGCGTTAATCTTGCCTTTCTGTGTGAGGACGTGACCATTGGGTAATGACGTGTGAGAGGAAGCCCTTTGGTATTGAAGCTTTCCATCTAACTGGAAATGGTACAGTTACCACCCATTTTATACTTTCCATTGAGTTCATATAACTGATAAAAATAGAAATAACTAGATGTTCTCCTAGCAATAACTAACAACATAGAAGTAATTAGACATGCTTCTCAGTGGAAGAGACCAAGGCCTTTTATGGTCTTAGCACCTGAAGTGAACCCTGAATCTGGGTCTGGCTCTGAATCCAGCTTCCAGTAAATAAGACAGAACTACATTGTGAATAAGGAAATTGGGAAAGTCCGGACTGGGAGAAGCTCTGTGGGTCCAAATGTCTGCCTTCTTCAACAGATAACAGTACAAGAGAGAGAAAAAATGGAGAGAGATGGCTTATGTTTTCAGTTGAGACTTGAGAAACAAAAGCGGTGGTCAAAACAGATCTTTGTTACCTTACTGGCATCCTTGTCACGTCCTCAGCAAAGGTGTGTTGATGTGCATCACACAGCTTTCCCTGTTGAGCAACCGCGTGGTAGTTTGGAACTGGCCATGGTGGCAGTGTGTAGACCAAATCAGAGATTGATTATTTTGTTGATTTGTCTTGAGAAAATGATGGAAAAAGTACTAATGCAGATAAGAATTTAAGAAATGTCTATAAGCATTACACTCACAAAAAATGAAATATTCTTCCAGTACAGAAACTGATCTGATTCGGTAAGAAACTCAGATAAATCATTGGCAAGTGAGTGAAGGTGACGTACATGTTGACCATTCTTTTTTTGTCTTGTTAATGAGTGAAAACATCAACATTCATCCCAGATTGCGTTCATTAATCAATTGTAATTATAGAGTACCTGTAGATAAAAGAATTCTGGGGGGAAAATCAACAGACAAATGCTTATATGGAAATTGCAATAACGTATTATGTGTTTTACTATTGGTAAAATTTACCTGTGTGTATGT